TCCCCAAGGGTGTGTTTTGGTTTAGCAATGTAAATCCCCAAACCACAATGGTTGTCATTTTGAACTGTCAGCCTGTAGCAAGCAGCTAATGACCTCAAAACTTCCTAAAAAGGATACCACAGAGTGAATGGAGAACAGCACACTAATTCAACTCATGGCAAGAAATGCAGCAAGGCTGTGGATTGACTACAGGTCAAAATTAGCAGCTAGAAACAAGATTTGTTTCAAGAAATTGAAATCAACGATTAATCTTACAACTGCTGAAAAACCAGAACCAGCTGAGGTAGCACTAACTTTGCCCTCAACAGATGCAGACTGACAGCTATAGGGACCTAATGGTTAAATAGGAAGGGTTAAAAGAAAGCAAGTCTGAAGACACAGTCTGCAGCTTGTCCTGTATTTACAGCTTTCTAAAAATACTTTAAAAAAATCTTCACAGGAAGTTGTGAACCAAATGTCGAGGCAAATCTCTCTTGCTCAAATTTTGTCATGCTGAGCTGGAGCACACAAATACTTGAAATAGCACATGACCCACAGCACCCTGTATGCATTTGAATGCAAGCAGTGATCTGGGGTCTGCTTGTGTTTGTCCTCTCTTCCAGATATATAATGTGAGTGTGGCATCCAGAACATGCTGCAGAGGAACAGGACAGGCACAGTAGAACAGAATAATAAAACAACAATAGCTTGATTCTATTTGTCAAGGGACAGATGAAATCCTATTCTCTTACTTATTGCTCACAACTGAATGTTTCAGAGCCTAGTTATGATACTGCTGCGGTAGGTGGTGCTGAATATTTCATCAGTGGTGGGCTAGAAAACACGGAGCTGAGGAAATCAGTTTGGAAACAGAGCAGCAAAGACAGAATTAAAAATTCAGCTCACCACCTGCCCATTTGACTGATGCACAAAGCTTTGACGTAGCTTCTGATTCAGAAGGTGTGCCTGCTGTGCCACTCCCAACGTAAATTGTCTTTTACACACATGGATAAGCAGTCTAATCAAATAAGGATTTAAAGCACGATGTGCTCAAAGGAACTGATGATTTCTCTTAAAGCCTGCCATTGCTCTCTCTGCGCTTTTGTACATATTAAGTAGTATATGACATTTATCAGAGGGAAAAGGTGAGTACAAATACCAAGGTAACAAAATAATCTGCCCACCTGCAGTGTGCAAATGAATACATCTTCGTGGATTTTTTGTGCCACTCTCCTACTCATGGGGCATACTCCTGCCTGTAAGAAACGCCACTTAACACCAAGAACTACATCAGTTGCCAAGAGTGACCTGGTTTGTAGCACATGTGCATCACAGCCCCTTGAGAAATCATTTGCAGCCAGAATGACAAATGGTCTCCTACACAAATGACCTGATTATGCTTTCCAAGCTTTGTCACAGCAGTCATGGTCAGAGAGACCTCTTTCTGCAACTCGTACACTGATCCTTTTTCCTCTGCCCCAATACGAACAAAAGACAGCCAGCAGTATTCTTCCTTACACATCTGGAATTTGCTGCTACAATACGTGCCTGTCACCCTACTGGGGCGTTTGCACTTTATGCATCGGTCAAATGCTTGGCAAAAAAAAAATCCTCACTTCATTTAAGTGCTGCTTTCTACCCTTCGGAGTGCTGTGGGTCTTCCTACATATCTAGATATTCAAATCAAGACATCTTCTGTTTAAGTCAATCAATGGAGATCAACTGGAGATGAACTCCTGCAGATAAGGACTACAACTCTGAAATTCTACCCTAACTTTCTGCACCATCTCTGCTGGAGTTCTGGAAATAACTAGAAGTTTTAAAAGGCTGCTTCTAGCACAGAAGCTGAATTTCGTATTTTGGATTTCACACCTTAAAACTATGACCATAAACCTGCCTTTTGAGGTGGTAACTTCAAACATAGGCTGTATGTTAAAGGAAGTTCCAATGTCCAACTGCTGGATTGCAATTCATCTGATCACCAAGCATTAATTAAAAAAATCTTCAGATTGTTGAAGAAAACATTCTCTATGAGAAAACATTCTCTTACGCAGGTGCTATGCCCCAGGAATAACTGTAGATTCTATTTCATATAATTCAAATTCATTGCTCAGCATAAAGACTCAAAAAATAACAGGCAGAAATTTCAAGCTTGCACCTTATCTTCAGGCACATACACTTTCCAGTGACAGAATGCCACCTATGAACCTGTGGTAGTGGACTGTCAGGAAGTCATAAAGGAAATTTTAATGTATTTCTGTTTTAGTTTCTAAAAAAAAATAATTAAATCCCAAGACTTGAGATTCAAATTTGTCAACAGCTAGTAACACTGAAAGCATGCAAAATAGGGCATAATATTTCTAGCAATGAGAAAATCTAGTAAAAACCAGCACCTTATTAGATATAAGAGGAATTAAGCCCACGGTACAAATTCACAGGAAACTAGACCTCATTTATTTTGCTGCTCACAGAAATACTTGTTCAGTTTAGGGAAAAACTACATTTGTCAGAGCTGTGTCTTCTAAAGCAAAGATTATTCATTCCTCAAGGTGAAAACTGTTCCTGAAGAGCTCTGCAGTAAAGCTCGAAACTAGAAAGCAAAAGTATAATGAACAAAAAACTTGCATGAAAACATTAGCCACGTAACTTGTATCCCAGCCTAAAAGAAGAACTATTTTCAACTATGCTTCCTTACATGTAATTTATTACTCGGACACTGTGAGTGTGAGATGTTCTTACCTAGGTTATTTTTCAACTCTTCCACTGACACAGACTTTCTGAGTCAATGGTTCTAACACAACGTTTTTAATGAAACACTTATATTTTTAATGAGAGTTGTAATATTTCTCAGGGATGTTATAAAGTGCAATTTTATTAGTGTTTTACTTCTCCCCAGATTCTACAGCTGTAATAGACTTCCTTTTCTATGAGTTTAGGAAGGGTACAGAGACTAAGAAATTCAGTAATTTCAGAGCAGAATTTGAGAGAGACTGACCAGCGCTCAAAGCTAGATGCATACCACCTCCTTTAACAGATAGGAACGATCTCAACAAACTTTCATTAAAACCAGTATGTAAAACCACGTATACAGCCAATGTTACCAACAAGAAGAATGTTGATACTGAAAGAGAACAGGCCTCCTCCTCATTACTGAGAACTATTTTATCTAGTACAGCCCAGATCTGATAGTGCTTTCTTTAATTTTTGCTGCTTGCTAAGTCCCAGTATGAGAACTTAGTTTTCATTTCTTTAAACTTTGCAATGCTTTGAAGAGTTTTTAGTATACCCAAATGCACCCAAAAAAAAAAAAAAAAAAAAAAATCAAGGTAGGGAAAAAGTACTCAAGGGACTGAGAATTTTTATTTGAGATATCTTAGCTTCTCTCATCTTATTAGGAAATAATATCCTACTAATTTTAGGCTCCTTTTTTCCTCTAACTAACAGTATCACATTTGAGATTAGGAGTCAGATTTTTGGAAACCACTTAGCAGTTAATAGACTTTTCCTCCCATGTCACATCAAAACCTCCGAAATTCCCATTCCATTTCAGTATTTATGAGGGAGAAGAAAATTTAGAAGAGTGTCCTCACCAACAAGCATTAACATTACCAAGAACAGAAGAAATTGAAACTCCAAGCAAAAAACCCCAAGGGAATGATAGTGGTACAGAAAGAAAACAAACAGAGCATCTCGAAGACCTAACGGTATCAGCATCTCCTTTGCTACAGAAATTATATGCTTTCAAATGATCAATAAGGTGCATTTCCTCCCCGCGCCCCGAACAGCTTTCTATGACTACAGACTGAGACTGTGATTGTGCCTTATAATTGTGGAGCATAGGAAGACATTACTAATTCAGCTATCTTTTTGTTTCCTCCCAACCCCTTTCCCAACTTCCTGTTCTCATCCCCCAACCCTCTCAAGCTACTTCACAGGTAAAAGCACATCTGCTTCCTAACCTGTGCGCTGGGCAAATGAATCCACCACTACTCCCTGTCCATCCCCTCCCTGTGTCCTAAATGTATCCTAATCCCTACCACAATGGCATGCTTACTTCCCTTGTGTTTTAAAGAAATCAATAATTTATTTAGTCTGCTGAAGCCGGTTATTTGTGAAACTAATCCATTAACTGCCATCTGGCACAGTATTACATCTTACAAAAAAAGTTGTTCCAAAGACAATGACGGTCCTATCTCCGTCCTCTGCATTCAACCAATTATTATGTTTCTTAAAGAAGCACATTAGCAACTTGATGTCCAGAGCTGTGGCTGTATCTGAAATTAATACGGGCTAAGTGAAGTTGCCCCGCTGCAATAGCAGCACACAGCAGAGTCCAAGTGCCGTGACAGAGATCTGTTGCAGCAACGCCACAGCCAAGAGCTGGAAGCTGAAGGGCAGGAATGACCACTCACAGCTATCTGCTGTGACAGCACTCAAGGAAGATGCAAACACAGGACTGTTGCTACTAGACTGGTCCACAGCCCAGCCTGTGTGCTGGAAAAAATGGGAGGAACGGAGATACCATTTGACGAACTATCCAAGAACTAAATGCATGACAAGTAAGATACTGCCAAGTTGCGCTTAGCAACTTCCTGTTGATACTTGCACTTTTCTCAGATGCTCGGGTCTGCAACTGATTTTTTAGCTGGGAGATTTCCAAAGTGTCTGCATCAGATAATGTAAATACTTACACGTAAATTAAATATCCAAACAGAGGAAGGATTTGCTAAATCTGTCATTAGCTGTGTCCCTATAGCATGGAGGCTCCAAATGTAAATGAACATTATTTCAGGAAAGACATTTACAACAATATGATAATGCCCCTACACGGGTTATACAGGATTTTTCTTCCAAGTAATCATTATAATTTAATTTATAATTTAAGAACACTGGCAAGTTTACTCTCCTGGTTTTCAGCTGGGACAGTATATCGACAGAAGCAAGATGCTGAATTTTAGCTTTTGGTGGTAATTTCTCATCACAGAAATATTTCCCTTTTTCTAGATTAGTAGTTTGCATACCGACTTCATCCTGGATCTCCTCTGCCACAGCAGGCACATTGTACAGGAAGGAGAGAGACTGGTTCATGCGTTCATATATCACACGTAGATGTGTCATAACCTACAGAAATAAAAGTATTTTAAGGATGGCAATTCTACTGTTAGCTGACATTATCACAAATTCTATAGGTTACAGAGAGCAAGACAGTTTTCACTTGTGCTAGGTGTAAGATTTCAGCATGCTCTATGTACTGAAACTGTCAAACCCATTTAAAATTCCCCTCTCTCCTACAGCTGCTACAAAAATAGCGTTCTAGATGTTCTTCCATAGCAACTATCTGAAATCCCATGGGAATGCCGCAATTTAAAGTAGGGGTTTACATTTGCTGTAGGGCAGAGCATGTACAGAAGCAGCTACTGTGTCAGAAATCCACAGCCTCATTTACCCTTCAACAACATTTACGTTTGCCCTTACCCCTAAGTTTTCACATAACAGGCAAACCAAGTGAGGTGCAATGACTGCTGCATTAAAACGTTTCAGCTGTTGGGTTTTTTCTTTTACTTTGTCCTAGTACTGCAAAAAGAAACAGTGTGCTCTGGAAAAAAGCTTCAGTTTTCTTGGTAAAAACATTTGCAAGCATTTTCAGCTGAAAACAAAAATATTTCAACCCAGAAGCATTACTGCATTGTCTCATGTGACTACAACCTAGCGCCTCAGGTTCCCACACACTGCTATGGGTTGAGTCACGACATCCCAGGATACGTGCTCCCCCAGGGTACTCTCCAGAAGTTATCACCTCTCTTCAGTAGAAAGAGAAATTGAGGTGCATCTTAGGAGACTGACAGGCCAATTAGGCCTAAAAAGGCAAATGTGTTGCAGATAGCAATTTTAATGAAACAACGGTATGATTTCTTCAAATCCAAATACAGTATTTATGTTTTTGAACAAAATATATTGCTTACTGTTTTCCATTGAAAAAAAATTTCACTAACAGATCCTCCAGCCTACATTCCCCCAACCTTCTGACCAATTCAAGAAGCAAAGATTCTATAGAAATATTCATTGTTATGATGATACACTAAGCAATACACTGCACTTCCTGTACTTAAATGATAAGTTTCCATTCTTCGCCTGTGCTGCCACACAATTTGTAGTCTGCCAGATTTCACTGGTTTTTGTTATTAAATAATCCAGTTATATTTATATATAGAATTCAGTTTTAGAAACTGAGAAGTCACGTTAGATGCAAAAGGACATGCTTCAATGTTTAAGGCAAGGGAAAGACAACTGTCACTGCAGAAGACTGTCAGAGGCGTGCATTTCTAGCTCTAGCAATTTCAAGACACCATGATCACAATGTACAAGTCTGTCTGGAATAGATGTTTGAGAAGTCTAATACACAAATTGTGCCATTCAAGGAGGTAGATGGTTTTGGTTTGGCTTTTAGTGATGCCAGTCATTTCAAAAACTGTGGCTGGAACAGCCCTTCCCACTGCATCCTGCAGAGGGAACAGGGACAGATTCTGCACATGGCATGCTTCTTTTACAGCTTATCCATTGTGCCTCCAATTTTAATTGCTGTTTTGAAAGCCAGTTACATCTTCAATTTGTTTTTTTTTTAATTTTTTCTTTTTGCTTTCTCGCCCTCCATGATTTACAAAAGCAACATAAAAGCTATTCCAAAACATACATATTGAGGGCTGCAGTAACATCCAGCAGTTAAAATGCCATGAACTACTGTGCCTATTTTAAAAGATCATGTTAAACCTGAGCACATCACAGTAATCACTTTTATAGACACTACGAGTACCTCTGCAATGACTATAGAAAGGTTGATTGCAGTCAGATGGCTACACCTCTTCTCGTTCTGACACTTCAGCTGAGGGAAGCGTAATCATGTGTGGTCAATAAATCTATTACTGACAGTGTTCCAGAGCACTAATAAAGACTCTGGGCATTAATGCTCTGGAGGGCTCCTCAGGAAACACCCATGACTGACGCACTGTCTGGACAGACAGAATCCCTGGTTTTCAGTTCTCAGAAGACAAATTATACCCACCCTACTCCTACATCACTTTGCCTTGATCTTCTGCCGGAAAGCATGTAAAGCTGTCCACAGAAAGGAATCAGGTGTTCTTTTTAAAAAAAGGTTGACATAAACTTCACAATGGTTGTGAACAAACAGGACCGTATTAACCCTCAGTGAGGATTACCTGAGATCTGATTTGGGCAGCTTTCTTTGGGTCTACCATGCGGACATGTTCGAAGTGTTTGAGAGTATGCTGTCTGTCTTTCTGCTCAGCACGCACGTACTTCTTCAGCATGTTGAATACGTGACGAGGCTATGGGGAAGAAAAGGGGAAAAATAACAGTTTAGTACAATACATGTTTTAGTTCCTGGCACTGGAGATGTATGCCAAACCAAGAGCACCTGGGCAGCCGGTGCCTGCAGCTACCTTGTGAAGGTCTGTAAGGAACGCTCAATCCATTCGGTAGGATGCATTGTCAAATAGTAGTTTGTAGGTAGCTGATAAGGTCCCCGGGGAGGGCGTTCAGATTTCCTCCCTCATGATAAGAGCAAGTTTGGCCATTGCATCTTCTTGTCTAACTGTTATACTATGGCTCAACAAGCCAGCAAGTGCCACCTTAGTGTGTGAGTTAATGGACACCCAATACGAATTTCTTTTGGCCTTTGCTTCCATTCTCTCATTTACTTCTCCTCTTCCCTAACTCAGGAAGCCCCCATGATGCAAGCTCCCAGTTTTGCAACCTTCACCACCATCAGATAAACCCCTCCCAGAAGATCCCCCAAAACCTGGACTCCATCAGAAACTTTTCAAAGATTCCCCATATATGCTCTACTATGTTGAATACTCAACCAGTATCAACATCTGACAGTCAACCACAGTTAAACTTTAGCAACAAAAAAAGATTACAACTGATAAGTTTATCAACAGTAAACTGAATGTACACATTCAGGTTCAAGTCAGAAAGTAACCTGCCCAGCACCTGCACAGACCATGTGAAAGCATCTAAGCCAAGGAATAATATCAGACTTGACTCCAAAACTTAAAAAAACCCCCAACAAACAAATCAAAAAAACCCACCACAAAAAACCTCAAGATGCTCCTGTCCTGTCACTACAGCTATGCCACCAGGGAGAAAGGAAAGAGGAAGGGAACCACTGAGCTGAGGTACAGAAAGTACACATCCAGAATAGACAACTGACTGAAAATCCATAAGAAAAAAAGGGCCATCTACTTGGTTCTTCTGAAGGTACTCAGCTTGCGTGGCAGATTCGTAAAATTCTTAGTCTATCTATACATTGCACGTGATTTTAATTAGTAAAACCTATTAAAGATATGCCTTAAGGCATATAATTGAATACAAACAAAGGAAAGGTCTGTAGCTGAAGGGAACATGAAAATATACACAGACTGATGATAGAGCAGTGAAGACTAAGAAGCGTGTTTCTACGTACTTTCCTACTCTGTACAACAATACAGTGCCAGAACAGGAAGTGTTCTCTATCATTCAGCTAAGACATTTGTTTTTAACTCAGTGTTTATGATGAATTCTGGAAGTCTGCTCCGCTCCCACACCAACACTCCTTGTGCTGTTGTGCTTATGCATCCTACCTGAAGCTGCTGAGCAGTGAAAAGCATGAAGCTGAGGCAGGTAAGAAGAAAGGGAAAGGCGACCTTACTGTGCAGTAGATTAAAGAATGAGCAGAAGTGGTGAACAGCTGGTCTAGGCACTGGCAGGGACACAGGGAAGAGGGAGGGGAAGTGACAAAGTAAGCGTCAGAGGCTCCGTGCACAGCTTTGTGAAGCAGGAAGAACCGTGGGCGAAGTTGAAGTTTTAGGAAGAGTTGGATTCATGGACAAATATAGAGCCTAAACTAATTTAACATTTACAAAAAGATGAATACTAAGCTATGGAGCTCAAAGAATTAAGAATCTCTTCAGCTTACGAGAAGCAACAGATTTAAAAATGTCTGAGGAAAGTAAACCAAAGGTTATCTGAAGCAGATTTGTTGTACAGAAATAGAGACGTGTGAAGCCATTCCCTGACAGAGGATTAAACGTAGTGGCTCTGTGACTGAAAACTGAAGGAAAATAACCCCAAGCCCCCAAAGCCAAGCACCCTGGGATGAAGCTGCAAGAAACCGCAGACAAATTCTGGAAAGTAATCCTCACAATGTTGTGGTAATGGCCAAACTGAAACTCCAACAGTAAACCTTTATAGGAACAAAGGCTAGAACACCAGAATGTTTAACAACAAGAAAATTTCGAAGACAGAAAATGTTACCTTTCCTGACAATTCAGCCTTCCTCGCCCCCAAGACGTATCAATACAGCAGGTTAGAGCAGACTAGAGAGAAAAGGATTAATTTCTATTTCTTCAAGAGATATTCCAATTTAAGTGTCATGTCTAACACCAGAAGGGCATAGTTTTCCCTTAGTGCGTGTGTATTCACTGCAATATGTCAACGAAACGTCCATATTAAGAGTCATAAGGAATCTTGTTAACAGGATAACGATCTTGAAAATACCTGTCAAATACCACTGACAACAGTAGTCAGTTGAGTAAATTGGCAGCCCACCTTCAGTGCCTTTTCTATCATTGAGAAATGTCTCAAACATATCATTATAAAGGAGAAATGGATATGCATGCCTCTAGCATGTCTGGCCAGATGTAATGGCAGCAGAAAACCATAATTCAAGTTTGAGACAATGCAGAAAGAACACAATGCCAGGTGTTTCCTTACAGGGGCAGCCACTTCGCTTTTTCAAAAGCAAAACCCCCCCAAAACCACCAGAAACTCGCTGCATGTAGGTATAAAGCCTAGAGAGTGTGTTTTGTTTTCAGAACTAGTCATATGAATGTTCTAACCCTGATGGTAACTATGGATCTAGTGATCTCACGTTGCCTAAACGCTTGTGACATTACTCTAACAACAAGTGATTCAAAGTGAAGAAGCCCTTGTGAAGCATCCAGTGACCTCACACAGATGCATGAGGTTCTCCCAGTCAGCAAGGCACTGCACTACACACAAGTTCCCAGGCTGGAGGCAGGCACCTATGGAAATGACAGGATTCCCTGAACCTAACATCGAGACCTGAGATACATATGTACCCAGGCTCCCCTGAAGTGGAAGCTGAAATGGACTAAAGTCTTAGCATATAGACTTGTTATTGCCAAAAATATATTTACTGTGACCTTTAGGAAACATGCCCTGCCTCAACTGTTAAGGTAATATAATGGGTCACTTCCATTCTGATCAAAATAACCCAAAAGGCAGCAGTATCCCCCGAACATCCAATGTACAGTAAATCACACTCTGCTTCCTTGCTGAAAGTCCCAGTGGCACTGGATCAGGTCAGACCTCCAGCCTTCCCAACAACTTCGCAATGCTACTGCCACATGGCTTCAGGGCCATGGCTGAAGGCGAAACTGCCAGAGAGCTGGTGACGGGCAACGACAGCTCTCCACTGGGCTCTGCATACCCGTGTGTGGCAGTTACCATAAACGAGGACCAAGCTCTACAGTGGAATGTAACTTAAATAGTAAAAAAAAAAAAAAAAAAAAAAAGATCATTTTCTCCTCAATGCCTAGAGCTGCAGACCTACTGCTTGCAGAATTTTAACAAATTTCTGGATCAGCAAAAGCACCTCAGCCCAAGTCCCACCTCTGTATTATATTTCATACACAGTTTCTTTTAAATGTCATTATCGAGTGAACTGGTTCTGCTTAAAAATCCCACTCACGCAGGCACCTTTTGCTGAGATACTTTCAGGAGTCAGCCCCAAATCTAGTACACCAAGCAGCGATACAAACTCTCGTGATGGCAGACCAGAGGGGCCACAATGAACGGTCAAGCACAGAGGTGAGGAGGGAAGGCTCCGCAGGCTGAGGAGATAGTCAGACCCTGTGCCTGAAGCTATTATATCCACGTCTGTCTATTATTTCGACCCTAGGCAGGAACCTTTAGATTAAATTATAAATGGAAGTGGCGCTATTATCAGCTAAATTAAGTTCTCGAGGCCTCAGCTCTGACACTGTCTATGGCAGAAGAACAAATGGCTGACACATCCCAGGGACAGCTCGGCACCTCTTGCTCTTCATAAATAATGCACCAACCTCCAAACTTCATAAAAAAATTCTGCGTTTAGCACTTGAAATTCTGCTGTGTGTTTTGCCAGGGAAAACACAGCCTGTTCACGTCTACAGTCACCTCAAGAAAAGACACCTCACAGAATAACTAACGTGTATCAGCCACCAGGGGCTACCTAAGTCTCACAAAATAATTCCAGCATTTTCAGTTGTCCGTACTTGTTTTTTTTTTGGGCTTCCTCTGAAAGCGACTGGGACACTCCCAAAACAACTGCTGTTATCCCCGTGTTTTTAGTTACCCTGGCTGACGCTGCTGGTGACTGTCATCTACCGAGTGACAAGAACGGCCAGTGATTTCCTAAGCAACAGGTTCCAGCACCAAATTCAGAATGCATATTATTTCACTAGCAATGATGTTTAGTTAGGAATAGTATTAGCTACTGACTACTCCAAAACCCTGGACTGGCTGGCAAGAAGCTTAAATCCACAGTCTTATGGCACATGCTATTTGGGCAAACGCAGAAAAAAAAAAAAAAAAAAGACACCAACACACCGAATAAGGTGCGCAGCGTGCAGTGCAGGGTGAGGCAGTGTAAATGCTACCATTACATGCTGCTTCCAACTACTTCAAGTTCATGCTGCCATGCTGTTTGCTCCCACAAAACTCATTCCACAGCTCCCCCTTCTCAGCAGATTCAAACACCTCTTTTTGTACTGAAAACTAAATACAGATTGATGCAGCCCTTTTACAGCTATCGTGACAGGCCAACAGATGTCTGTGGGTATTTTAGTTGTTAGTTTAAAACTCTGCTTATGGTGGAGAATATTGTCAAAGTATTACTTCACATAGTTTTTGTGAGTATGTTGGGACTTGCATGTATTCAGTATGTCTGGTACAAAGTAGACAGGTACACAGACTACCTAGGCTGACAATGCACCATGAAAAAGCTGATTTTCTACCTAAAACTGCAGAGAATATGCCCTGTCTCTTATTTGGAAAACAATTCTTTCTGTGCACATATATATGCGCACCAGGGTGGAGTTGTGGACCTGTACTGCGGCCTCTTGGTCTGAAGGCTTAACCGGGCAGTGCTGACAGCTGGTTAACAGGCTGACAGCTGTACAAGGCACAAGCCCAGACAAAGCAGAAAATGCCGATGGCTCCTTGGCTACTTGGCGGTAAGTTCCAGCCCCATCGATTCTGTAATCCAGTGCCTTTATTTCAG